CCTTCCTGGAGCTATTTTATGGGCCTCCTGTAGGTACCAGTGCGTCAGATTCTCCCCATAGACCAGGAATGTAAGGTTTTCATTACGTTACCTATGAGACCACATTCTTCAGATGAAGATGGAAGAAACGGGTGGTGAGAGCTGTGTCCTGGGCCTGTCTTCCCAAACTCAGGGTATTTTTTTTCACAGTATACATGAGCTCCCAGAGGGGCAGGAGGTGATGGGCATGAATCCCAGAGCCCTGTCCCCTGCAGGCATCTTTGGATCTGACAGCAACACATGCCCTTCCAGCTGGTCTGGTCCCCGTGCCACTATTTGAGAGCAGAAGTGGCGGTAAATATTTAATTGTGCTTCCACCATAACTTTCTTCCAGAACTCTCAATATGCTCCATAAATGCAAATGAGTGGTCGCTTCCTCTCCAGAGAGATGTAAACCTCCCCAAATCACTTTTATTCAGCCGGAAGAGTAGCTAACCTTACTCTCACGGAGTGGATGGTTCACCTGTCTGTGGTGCTCTGTCTCCAAGCTAGATGGGATACAAGGAGATAGATGCCTCTAGCTGCAGCTTCTGTCCAGTAGACTGGATGGAAAATACTATTCATAAGTACATTCAATTCCATTTTAAAAGCGGTGCCTATAGCTGTTATGGAGGCTGAGGTTGTATTTATGGAATTAACAGAACAAAGGAGTCCCTGGAAGATTTGCAAATGAAATGCCATTCTGAGTTTTGATTCTGGATTCCATTTCCTTTGCCACCATCATCCCTAGCCAACTCAGTGCCGCTTGGTAAGATTTGTAGTTGGTGGTGATTTGCATTCTGGGAGCTTTTGTGGCTTCATGACCCCAACATCAAGTGCCCCCATCCTTCTTCAATCCCAGAGCTGTAGGAAGCTTCCAGATCTGCCTGGTCGTACTTGATCTGGGATTTGAGGCTTTCTGTGCCAGGCTGGGGAGCTGTGTGACTTTTCAGAAAGTAGTGTCCCTCTCTGCGCCTCAGTTTCCTGTACTTTTGTTCCTGCTTCAGACCCACCTGGCAGAGATATTTTAATGATCACTGAGATGAGCTTCTGCAGGGGCTTCTGGAGTACCTTCTGAGAAGTGTATTATGTAAATGTGGCATGTCATTATGATCGTTATTAGTGCTGTGAAGTGGAGATGAGGAGAGGAGGGAAGCTTGCTCTTCGCAAGGACCCCAGCTGTCGGCAGTTGAAGGGGAAAACAAACTCACAATGCCTGCTCTGGTGTTTTTCATGTGATTGTACTGGGCTCAGCCCTAACCCAAGACCAAAGAGGCCAAGATGCTGCAGCTTTTCCTTTTTCCCAGGCATCTTCTGATGTGTGCTATCAATCCCCAGGCGCAGAGATGCTAGCCCTGCTACAGGCATGGCACACAGTGCCACGTGTCAGGGAGAGGCTTTCTGTGATTGTGGCATGCATTCCACACAGGCTCCTGGTGACTGTCTGGCCCTTGCTTGTGGTCCATGCAGATCCTTCTTTGTGGTCCTTCATTAGACTTACACAGGCCCTCAGGTGGCTTTCGTCTAGTGGCTGTTAGCTGGTGAGGCCACTGGCTGTGTTTTCACCTGCTGGGATGGTGGATGTCCAGGGTCCTGTGTCTGGAACTTGGAATCTGGGGCAGGCAACTTTCTGGAGAAGCACTGACCAATGACTATATCAAGGACATCTTTTCTTTGTTGAGCGTGTGCACCTGTATGAGTGTGGTGTGTGTGTGTGTGTGTGTGTGTGTGTGTGTGTGTGTGTGTAGTTGAACATTCACCCATGTGTGAAGGCTACAGGTTTATGTTGGGTATCTTCTATTGCTATCCACCTTATTGAGATAGGGTCTCTTACCGAACCATGAGCTCACCATGTTGGTTAGACAGTCTGGCCAGCAAGTCACCTGGATCCTCCAGTTGATGCCTTCCTAGTGCTGAGATTATAGACCTGTGCTTTCTCATCACGAGAGTCTAGGTAGTAGGTGCCTTATCACCACAGCTCCATGCACCAACCGCTACACCCACTTGGCTGCTAGAATGTCCCTGCTCCCACACAATCTGAAATCAGATGGGCCCTGCTGTCACATGCACCATCTTAAAAGCTATTGATTCTAGCCAAAGAATCTATACAGAGCCTGCACTGTGGCACTAACCTGGAACTAAATCCAACTTAGGTCACCAGACGGCTACGCTAAAAAAACATCTTCAGCTGAAAGATGTTCATATGAAGGCTGCCCTTCATTTGGAGGAGACACATAATCTTTGGGATATACAAACATCGATGTAGAGACACAGTAAACGTGAAGAAGCACAGAGACACAATGCCTCCAAAGGAGTCCACTACTCTCTAGCAAAAGACCCCAAAGAAAAGAAAAATGGAGAGATGTCTGATGTGCCATTCAAAATAATGATTCCGGGGACAGTCACTGAGAATCAAGAGAATACAAACAGATGAGTTGGTGAAATTTTAAGAAAATGATTCACCACATGAATGAGGAATGCAGTGGGAAGGAATCAAGCAAAGGCTGAGCTGAAGAACTCGGGAAATCAAACATAAAATAGAGTTAAGAGCCTTACCGACAGACTCCATCTGTAAGAAGAAAGGATTACTGAACTGGAAGCCGAGTCTTTTGAAACATCCCAGGTCATAAAAAAGTGGCAGGGGGAGTCTTGAGGGTTAGGACTATTGGAGCACCATTGTGCAAATTATCAGTGTTCAAGAAAGTGAAGGGATGGGGAAAGACACAGGAAAAAGTGTTCAATAATAGTAGCAAATGTCCCTGGTCTTGGGAGAGATACAGACATCCAGGTCCAGGGACCCCAAAAGATCTCAAATAGATTTGACTACAAATGTCTTCTCTATGATGCTTAGACTTGAACTATGAACATTACAAGACAGAGAATCCTAAACACAGTGAGAACTGCCAGATTATATTTAAGAGCGCCCTGCACTTCTCCCATCCCCCATAGCAGACTAACAGAGTTTTCTTTGCAGAAACCTTATAGGCTAAGAGGGAATGATATGGTGCATTCAAAGTTCAATCTGCCCCCCAAGAATATTATACCCAGCGATGTTTACCTTTGGAAGTGAAGGAAAAAAAAAGATATCTCCAGACAAACAAAACTGATGGAATTCACAGCATCACCAGACTACTCCTTCCAAAAACATTATAGAAATCATAGAATAACATAAAACAGAAAGACAACTCCTCCTCAGAGATTGGAAGAATACAATACCTTTGTCCATTCTACTCAAAACCATTCACAAACTCAATGTAGTTGCCTTCAAGATATCAATGGCATTCTCTACAGAGCCAGAAAAGACAATCACAAAATTCATATGGAAAGAGACAAGATTCAGGATATATAAGGCAGAGTTGTGCAAAAAGAATGAAGGGGAGGCATCATAATGCATGACTTCAAAACGTACGACAAAGCCATAGTGATCAATGCAGCAGAGTATAAGACAGCTAACTGTTGACGAATGCTTCAGGACCATATATTGGAGAAAGGACAGTCTGCTCAACAAATGGGTCTGTCAACGCGGGATGTAATGTGAAAAACAATGAAGCCGAATTCCCACTTCTCAGAGTGGAGAGAGAACAAGGGAGATTCCTGATGCCAAACTTTGGCGTGCACACACACATGCACACATGTGCATCCATGCATGTCTGAAGACTCATATACACATGTGCTCAGTGCAAACACACACAGGAAAAAAATTCAAGAGAGGCGAGAAAGGCAAACTTATTCACTCCCACTAGTAAGGATGGCTCTCAAAAAAAAAAAAAGCCTGAACTATGATTACCATATTGTTCAGCAATCTCATGTCTGAATATATATCCAAAAAGGAATGAAATAATTGTGTCAAGGAGAAAGCTCATGCCTGTGTTTATTATAGCATTACTCACAATAGCCAAAATGTGGGATCAGCCAAGACAGTCACTGATAGAAGAATGGAGTTGAAAAATGTGAGAGACACACACACACACAGAGAGAGAGAGAGAGACAGAGAGAGAGAGAGAGAGAGAGAGAGAGAGAGAGAGAGAGAGGAAGGATAGAATACCATTGAGCCGTGAAGAAAAAGGCACAGTATGGAATGTTGGTGAAGATTTGGAAGGACTCCTACTCTCACACAATATCCCCAGTCTGGAAAATATATGAAGAAATTGAAGTGCATTCATAAAATGAGATTCCACTTAGTAATAAGAAACAATAAAGTGGAGTGTTTGTGATACACACTTTGTCTCCTGGCACTCAAGAGCTCGAGTGGTGAGAATTGTGAGTTCAAGGCCAATGTTGACAACATCACAAGACCCTACCTTAAAAAAGTTCCCCCTACCCAAATACCAACAAAAATAATAATGAAGAAAGAAAGCCATAATATTCTTAGAATATGAGTACATCTTAAAACTGTTATCCTGAGATAAAAGCTGTACATAGTATATAATTCAATTTCTAGAATAGTAAAGACAATGGCTTTTATTTTATGATGACAATGGATCAGTCATTGCCTAGGGACGGGGACAGAATAGGTTAGGAACAAGAAGACTAACAGGGGATAAAGAGATATTTACCTGTACTGGTGCTAGGGTTAAAACAGTACATTCCTGGTTTGGACTTACCCTTTGTCAAATTTTCTAAGCTCTTGTCATGTTATTGGGGAAGAGGGTGGGCATATTTCTGGCCCTGGGGCAAAGAGACTTGTGTGAAGGTAGAGATTTGGGAGAGCAGTTGGTGTCTGGGAATTGGCATGTAGGGGCATCAATGGGGAGGAAGCAGGGGAATTTGTGGGGCAGGAAGTGAGGCTGGAGTAGCACCATTAGGTACAGATGAGGACACACAGAGGACCCCGTAAGGCTAGAGGAAGGCATGTAGTTTGGCTCCGAGAAATCCCCTGGATAGAGTGATGCAATATGGGTAGATGCTGGATGTGGGGGATAAAGATGTAAGCGCAAAGATAGCTCCTGGCACACAGGTAACTGAGGAGTTCCAGAGAAAACATGGGGTCTGCAGTGCGTCTCAGCAAACTCTGCCCCCGCATTGTGTCTCGGTTATCACAAAGGAGCCTGAGTGGGAAGATACTTAAGGTTATTTCTGGCACCAGATACTATCAGACATAGTAGCTTCATGCACTGTTCTTTTTCTGATTTGCAGAAACATTGATGGACACAAGGACAGCCACTGCCGAGCTGGGATGGACGGCCAATCCTGCCTCTGGGGTGAGTATCAGACCAGCATCCTTCAGTGCTACAGGGAGGTCCTGAGTCTACAGGGTGACTGGGAAGTACAGGACTTTCCTAAAGCCATACATGTGGGGAGAAGTGCCCAGAGGGAATGCTGGGTGTACTACCTATCCAGAGAGCAGCACCATGGGGTCTCAGATCTGCTCCGTTATGTGTGGTGTAGAGCATCTCATGACCCAGGCTTTCCACACAACTAGCTCCTGGGCAGCATAGACCATAGATATGTCAGAATGGCATTAACACTAATGCCATTGTAACACATCAGAGATCAACAGTGCCCACAGGGCTGCAGCGAGGCCAAGGCCATGAGGAAGGGGCTGGTGGTCAGAAGTGCTGAGGCGGCTGTCTTGCACCTGGAGCTTGCCATAGAGACACACTCTTAATTCATTTGGTCTGTGTACATGTACCTGGCCAGAGCCTATAGCTGTGATGCTGACAGTCTCCTGTGAAAGCCAACCATGTTCATGGCTAAATTAGGGCTCACCTCTTCTCTTTGACATTGCATAGGAAGAAGCAGGCTTAGCTGTGATGTGTTGACTTTGGAGTGCCTCTGGGGGCACCCACGGGCAGGTACATTTGACCTTGTGGCAGTAGTCATCTTCAAAGGGCTCTGCTCAGTGAGCTGGGAGCCCATGGTGTGGCTCCAGTGTCCATGGGAGAATGGCTTAGTAGTCTGGCTGCATAACGCCACTGGAGGGTCAGACACAGAAAGATGGCACTACAAGTGGCCTGGGAAGTGGGAAGAAACCAAGAGGACCCTTTCACTGACATGGAGGGAAGGGAGTGTCAAGGAGGCAAGAGAAGCAAAGGCTGCTGGGTATGAAACATACCAACTCTGCCCAGCCCCGAGGAGCCTGTTGGTGACCTACATGGATGGTTTCAGAGGACACCAGGTAGGAGGCAGGAAGCAGTGATTAAACAGTATAAGTCAGAAGGAAGTAAAGTGAGAGAGACTGTGGGCGAAGACAGTGTGGGACATAGAGGACCAGAAAGACTGGGGACACATTTACCTTTGGGATCAAGATATCTGGAGAGGATAGTGTGCTCTAGGTTGGTGAAAGAAGCCATGACATGGAATCTCTTCTACCTTCATACCTTCTGCCTGAGATTGGGATTGAGGTTTCAGACAGTGAAGCCTGGGAATCTTAAGGTATGGAACTTTAAGAGGAGGAGGGCATTTATACCAGTTGCTCTGCACCATTGGAGAGAGGCCAGGTACGCTGAGAGGGAATGAGGCCGAGGCCAGGGCCACGCTGTGAGTGAAGGCCGGCTATAAATATGTGTTGGGCCAGTCTACAGGGTCTCTGTCACCTGCCTGACACTATCTGGAGGAGATGTGCCAGTGGATGTGCCCAGAGTACATTGTACAGGTGTAATGGTGAGATTGAAGGGTGGAGGAGCTCAGGACAGCCAGAAGTTGTTGGCATCTTATGGACTGACTGTTGTGACCAGATGGAATCCTGGGGAGGCTGTAAAACAGGTGGGTAGGCACATCTGAGACTAGAGACTAGAGTGGGACCAGAAACTGTGGCTTTATGTCAGGGGTAGGATTTAAGGAGTTAGTTTTGAGTTAGTTTTGCTCTGTCTTAAGAAGGAATCACTCCGTTCTCCCCAAGAAGGGAGGCAGCTGGCACTTCGATGGATGCTGTTCACAGCACATGGCTGGCTTGTTGGGCTCCACAGAGAGAGCCTAAGAGACAACTTTTTGGTTTATGTGACTATCCATGTACCTCTGCTGTTGTACTTGAGAACATGATCTGGACTTGGCTAACCATCCATACTTAGCCCACAAGCTTGTTTTCAGTTCTGTTGTTAGAAAGCTGACTATAATATTACATGCCAAAATAAGAACATATTTATGCCCAAATCCAAACTACTGCTTGGTAATTAGGCATTCACCTTTAATGTGAGCCTCTTGGTTTAATAAAATCACACACTACATAGTAAACAGAGGGAAAAGGCAAAAGTCACATTATAAATGGACAAAGCCAGGGAGTGCTGAGTTTCCGTGTGAGGGCATCCTAGTGAGGTTCTCCAAGACCCCCCTTCCTAGACTTGGTCCATCCTTTTCTGGTCAGCCCCCCCCCCAGTGTGGGACCTGTGGACAGGGGTGAGGTCAGAGAGTCTGGGGTCATCACTGCATTGTAGATGGTGGCCTTTATGGACACATGCTCCTCCGTAGGCCTGTTTCTAGGTGCTGCCTGGCCCTTTCTGTCCCTGCCTTCCTCCCTGACCTGTGCCCTGCATGTATTATCTCTGGTCTGTCCCCTCTGGGACCCTCCTGAGTCCTCCTCCTGCTGTGGCTCAGAGGTCACAGCACTGGCCTCTCACAGCCTGCTATAAGGGAAAGAAATTGTCCATGTTTTCAAGGCCCAGAGGATGAGTCTGCTCTAGTTCCTTGTCCCTGGTGGCAGTCTAGCAGGGTGCAGGCACCAGGGATGTCTGTCAGCTGAATAAGTGATACCTCTTTGCAACTGTATCCCAGGGCTCTACACTAAGAGATGCCCAGGACAGGTTCATTGTAGCCCAACAAAGAGTTAGTTCCAGGCCTTGCAATATCCAACTGTCACTAAAGAGCTGGTTAGCAATGCAAATATCACAACCTCTGAGATGAGCCCGATGGAGGAGAATGGACACCCAGAAGGTGTCTTTCTTTTCAAGCTCTGACTATAATGGGTTAGTGACAAGTCTGGGTCCCTCTGAGAGCCAGGCATATTCAGTTTCCTTGTTGGAAATCCAAACCCCAAGTGCCTTTACTCTTAAAGAGCTTGGGCAGAGCTCACCTACTATTGCACCTGAGCCATGGATGGCCTTCTTTTGTGTCAGTTCCTGTGTCTATGATGTGAGTCTCTAAGAGTGAATATCTGTGAAGTTCTCATCTTCAAAGACTGCTTTGTGTGCTTCCAGACTCCATGTGCATCTATGGTGCCTCTCAGAATCACCTTCACAGCCAGTGGCATGTGGAGTTGACTATTTTAACACTGCCATTCTTCACCAAGGCTTGATAGAGGGAAATTGGAAGGGAAATTCAAAACCAAGCCTGGCAAGCCCACAGTTTGAGTGAACGGGGCTCCTGTGTGTTCTCTCTGTTTAATCAGTATATATATATGTATATATATGTCTATGTATGTATATTTTATGTGTGTATTTGTATGTATGTGTGTATATATTTATGTACCTATATGTGCATGTTTGTGTAAATTATATATATATATATATATATATATATATATGTTTATATTTGTGTGTCTGGGCATATATCTGTGTATATGTGCATATTTATCTATATATGTATACACATTTGTATACCTTTACATTTCTATACATGTGTTGGCGTATGTGTGTATCAGAATGCACATGTTTATTTATGTGTGTATGTATATGCTTGCTTGTGTGTATATGTGTCTATGTATGGTCAGAGGAAGTTAAATGAGTTTTACCCAGGCCTCTCTAGGCACTTCTGTGGTGTGGAGGAAGGATTATTGAACTGATAAGCGCTAAACATCTGGAGCCAGGTGCTGAGGAGGGAAAGAGTCCTACCTGAAAGTCTAGATCTGGCCATTAACTCTCTGCACAAGCTATAGGCAAGTGTAGGATTTTTCTGGTTGTCCAGGTGTGGACTGTCTGGGCCACTTGGCAGCCCTGGCTATGTCCTCCATCCTTGGGTCCTCAAGGTCCCCTTCCAGTGGACTCTCCTGGGAGTGAGTGAGGAAAGTATACGCAGGGGAGAAAGCCACTCCAGGAACCGCCTGTCTCTTCCAAGGCCGAACAAAATCAACTCCAATTTTTCTGGACTGGTGTGACAAGCCTGTGGAGCAGCAGCCTAAGCCCCAGGCTATGACATCAGATCCCTGCACACATCCCCTGTTGGCTGATCCTTGCCTGTGTGACCAGGGCCTGGCCTTTAGACCTCTTCCCTCCTCTGCTCTGTGGAGTAACAACACCACACAGGACACAGTATAGGTAAAGAAGTTTTCTTTGGCACCTACTTAGGAAGCACTAGCCTATTATCAGCCCTCTGGAGGGCTGAATATTTTTTTCTCCTCTTCCTTTGATGACTCAATCCTGCTAATTAGGACAGAAATGCCTGAGCTGAGTTAGGGGTAGATCCAAGTGAGATTTAACTGTGGGTGAGAGAAAGGGATTTTGTGAATGGAATTTCCCCCTATTTGACTTTGGAGACATGCCAGGAGCAGGAGGGCAGAGGGTGGGGCCAGCTGTGCTTCCTCACTTTGTGCGCTGGTCTGAGGGCATGCAGCCTGGCGGCTGGGTACCGGTAGGGGAGCTACCCTCAACATGCACTTTGCTCTTCATCAGAACTTTTGGTGGCCAGTGACAGAAAAGCACAGACCAGTCTTGGAGGAAGCAGCCCAGTTGGTCCAGGTGGCATGGGGCTACAGGTTGGGCCAGTTCCCCTCAACACTCTGCCCCACGCCTGCCTCTTTTATTTTTTTCTTTTCTGTCTCCTCCCCACCCTTTCTCTTGCTTCAGCTCTCACACTATTGGGTATGTGGCACTTTATTCTACAGTGTACCTGCAGCAGCTCCTACCCTTTAGCATTTCCATCTTTATGCTAGCAAAGAGGAAACACCTGATGCTGGACCTTGAGGCCCTGGCATTTGTTCTACTTGGGCCTCGCTGGCTGGTCTTGGATTCTGTACCCACTCTCAGAGTACTCGTTGCTCACATGCGGCCTGTGTCTGCTCTGTGTTGAGCTAGGCCCAGTGGAAGCCCAGGGACTTCAGGGAAGGAGGAAGTAGCTCTCCAGGGTATAAGTTCCAGAAAGGCTATCAGATGGCAAATAAGAAAAATGAAAAAAAACAAACAAACAAGCAGCAAGCCTAACAGCCTAGAAAAGGTCTGTGTGAACCAACCACAGGGCTTCCCGGGCTCCGTTTTACTGCTGAAGAAACTAAAATGAGGAGCAGCTGATAAATTTCCTTAGATCACATGGCTAAAAAGTGTCCCTGTTGCCC